GGAAAAGTGTTCCAAGTATTGCACACTCTGATTACAGAATTTGACGCCGGCATTTCAGTCGACTTTCAGAAGTGGTAACTTTAAACGATGGCCCCTAATGTACGAGGGCTGAGAAAAAAGTTTCCGGATGCGCTAAAAGTTTCATTTGTTACACAAAAATAAGCACTATATTTTCTCGAACTATTCTCCACCAGCGTTCAGATACAGTTCCAAACGTTCAGCCCATTTGGTGAAATGGCTGGACCATGCCGAAGGGAAGAACCTTTCGACCAGTTCAATAAAAAGCTTCCACTACAGCTGTTGATGACTCGTATCAGATTTTACGCTTAACATTTGGGAACAAAAATGTCACGGTATCAGGTCTGGAGTGTAAGGTGGGTGACCAACTTCCTGGATGCTTTCTCTAGCCAGAAAATCGCTGACGACAGAAGACCCGTGTGCAGGTGCGTTTTCATGGTGCAGCAAGGTCCCCCACGCACGAGTCCTTCGAAGACGCCTGGCAACAGCTCCCAGCACTTTCGGTAGACAGTGTGTGGCGTACCTGTGGGTTTCTGTACGAGCGGTACAGTAGCTGCATGAACGGTTTTGTACATAAACACAGCAACTATCTGCTTTGCCACACTGCATTTGCGTCGGAATTTCTGAAACGGTACCCCACCAATCGGCGTATACTGAGCCGATTGTTTCGTGTTCTCTGGATCAAAATTGTACATCCAGGGATCATCACCACTGACGATCTCCCAAACTGCACTGAATCATATTCACAATAGATTACAGTTCACGTTTTCCCCGCTCTGCCATCTGCACCTCGTACGAGTACTGTGAATCGGAAACCTTTTGCTCAGCCCCCGTTTATTGGACGATAACGTGAGCACCGGCCGACATGGAGGATTTGGGTTGTGCGGTATTTGATACGCCAAAATCAAGGTTCCTCAAATTCGGTGGTAATGAGCGGAATATAGTCCCAATTATCGTAATCTCTTCCCATAGGTGAGGCAGTTCAATTCCTTGACCATCTTTGTGGACGCTCCAGCATCTTACAATCACATCGCAATCATAGGCTTCAGGCTTGGGTGGCGTACTTCGTGTATGGTTGATTGTACACTGATAGCAAACGTGGGAACAACGCTTATTCAATTTGACCAAAGATTCGCCTAAGCAAGCTGACATCTTCCATAGAAGCAAACGAAGTACTAGTGCCATTGATTGAGCAGCCTAAGTCTTCTTAAACAGTGATTCCACGTTTTTTCTCACTTGAGGTATGTGGAAGTTGGGGATTTCCGAGGAAATATGATAAACTACTCCAATGGCCTAGGGATAGGACTTTACATTTGGAAACATTGAATTCAATGTTGTTCTGCGTAGGCCATCGATCAGGTGTGTTAAGTGTTTATTAAAGGGATAACGAACCTTCGAGTTCTGTTTCTGTATTACAGATTTTGGTACCGTCTGCAAACAATATTGTTTTGACCCCAGCACATTTGGTAGATCATTAACGAATGCGTGGAAAAGTCAGGGACCGAGTACGGGCCTTTGTGGAACACTGCGGGTAACGTTTATAGAACCGGATGAGGAATCAGAAACATGAATCGATAGGGTCCGTTGTCGGAGGAATGCTCTAATGCAATCAAGCACGAAACCCCGAATGCCGCAATTGTAGAGCTTCGGTGACAAAATTCTGTGGTTTACCCGATAAAATGCTTTCGAGAAGTCCAGATAAATCACATCCAGCGCATCACCTTGGTCGACTGTTCATCTCGAACAAGGAACAAGTTAGTGGAACAAGATCGATTTTGCTTGAACCTATATTGAGCTGTCGAAAGAATGTATCTTTCTAAGTGTCCCATCAGGGAATATGCCAGAATTGTTTTCATGACTTTAGTGGGGTAAAATAATTTCTTGTTTCCACGATTGAGGGCTGTTGCTTGGTCGAACATATCCGTTCGAACAGAATGATTAGTGGTTAGGATACGTGATTCGCCAAAAAAGATAAAGGATTTCGGGAGTATATTATCTGCACCTGGGGTTGCATTTTTCGCAAAATCATTAGTTATACTGGTTTCAGCATTACATATTATGTCAGTCAGCGAAGGAAATTGAAAATGTTACAAAAGATGAAGAAGCTGTAGATCCTCCGTACGTGGTGCTACAAAACTTTGGAATGCTGAGTTTTCAACATTTCAGCTGCTTCCGTTGAAGTGGCTAAAACTCTCCCGACGCGACTTAGTCCCGATATATCAAACTTGACTTTCTGAACTGAGTTTACGTGCTTATACAACAAATTAGGGTTAGAAATGAATCTCTGTGCTAGCACCTTTAGGTACATTGGCTTATGCTCACGAACCAACCTGGTGCTGCGCTGTCTCAGCATGCGTTAATTATTCCATCTGACGACATCCAGATGACAAGTATAATCTCAGCAGAATAGATCCCTCAGAGATCGACATTTTCTCGAGCAATTTCGAATGAGTGAATTTCAGATGCTAGATTCGGTGTTTTCTCCGGTTTTAGTCACTGATGTTAATAGGTTTGTAAAACTGTACACGGATTTCTGCAAGGAGATCAATGGATTTGTGTCTCCGCCATTGAAAACCTATTGAGTAGAAAGCGTCAAGTACCTGTCGGTTGGGGGGGTGTTCTCTGCTTCTTGAACAGTGCTTGCGTTCCTCGTTGTTTTGAACACGCCACTTCTCATATCAGCTGGGGTTTGATCTTCACCTGAGAGGTACTATACCTTTTCAAGAGAAGCCGTTGTAACTTCAAGTGAATCCGACCAATCGCATTCTGTCAAAGGGATTGGTTCTTCTGGCGTCACGCGTCACCGATTGGATCGGGTCTATCGAAACCCCGTCCCGTCGGGGTAAACTGATTTCTCCATAGACAAGCAAAAGTACTTTTTAAATGAGTTACCGAGGGAGAATGAAAGTTCCGGTGGTGTGGGGTAAGATTTCACTGTTGACCCCCTGCCCCAACCGGGTACGTTATATCCTTGAACATTGATCGTGTGAACTTTAGTCCTACTACTGTAGACGGTGGTGATAGGCCTCGATCGGCCGAGTAAGGAAGTGAATCACGTCTAAATGGATCGAAAAATCGTTCACCATGCTCAGGCGTGAATGTTGGAATGAATCATTGCACGAATGTGTTCAGCAGCATAATGAGTAAATTTCAATGAGGCAAAGGTCCTCTCGAATAACACCGATTCTTTTGAACCAAATGCAATTGTCTATATATTTCTGACATTTAAAGGCACACTTGACAAGATACAGTAAAAGATTTACCAGTATTTCACCTAAATAGGTTAAATTTAAACTCATTCACTAGTTAACAGAAATTGCATTTTTTCTCTCTGTAACTCCCGGATTGACTATTTCATTCTATTCACAAAACCGATGGCAAAATCCGGTCACCTACAGCTTCTTCCCTTGTTCCTCATCTCCGTCGTATATTTTATCAACCTTGTTACATCATTTATCATCCGCGTCGCATCCTTTTGCAGCCTGATTACATCTGTGCGATCCTTATGGTTCAATGTTTGGGACGTGTGGTGATAAGAATAACACAATTATTCATGATTCTACGAAGAACCATGACGTGTGACGGGAGAAGAACCAATCATTTTGTGGGGTTTATGGTACAACGCGATTGGTTGGATTCGCTTGCAGTTACAACCGATTCACTTGAAGTTGAAATGGTATATGGTGGTAATTTTCGCGTTTTCCCTTTCTTCAGCCATCAAAAGTATGTTTTCGAACCCAATAACATGAATGTTCTTTTACTTCCTTTTTATTTTATTGAATATACAAATGTACAGTCAACATTCAGGAGGGGGGCCGCGGCCATACAAAAGCTGTCTGGGGAAAATACAGAATTAGGGAAGACGTGCGGCGGTGGAGCGGTTCGAATCTGAGACACCCAGGTCGCAAACTGGTGACCTAATTATCCGGCCACCACCGCTCTCGTAATGTCTATTATACATTTGTTAACAGCAGTCCTAAACCAATCTGCTGAAGACAATCTGGTTTTGCAGTCATCGATTTAATCAGCACACCGGATAGTTTCGCGCATGTGGGATGAAAGTACTTCTGGCTATAAGTGCATACAATTCCTGTTTAGACATGTCCACACCCCGTCGAACCGCATACACCCAAAACACATACGGGCGAAGATGGAACACCTGTTGGCATTATCTGACAACCCATATTGATGCACGGAACGGCCAGATTAGAGGGGTGACAAAGATCGAGTGGAGCGAACTCAGTGACTGGATTTAAGTGTGCAGAACAATGACCAGGGCCGTTTGTCGGTATCGATCGCGGTCACAACGATTGAGAAGCGGACACGTACACACGTGATGGGGATTGGCATAGAATTGAAATACACAAAATACATTCGTAGCTGTCATCAAACCAGGCAGAGAGCGACCAATAAAGGCCCGTTGGATAGAGCGTTGCATTTTCTTCAAAATCGTACCACGTTGAAGAGAATAAGCACAAAACTGATCACTTTTGCTGACGTCAGTGACAGAAAATTCGGTTTGGGCAATCGAGTGGCAGAACAGTGTGCTACTCAGGATATATGTCGACGATATTATTATCATAAGATGGAGCATGCAAAACGGAGTCGAATGCGCGTTGACTTGGTGTTTTGCGACGAGATTTGGAAAAACAATTCAAAAGTTATAAAAACAGATCCACATGAGACTAGTGAGCTGGTTCTAATCTACGGCAATGGATATTCTCTTTGCTATCTGTTTGAAGGAAACAGATTATTATTCTATAAATTGTTTCTTGACCGTGTTTGAGAAGTATATTGTCGTTTTGCCTGGGCTTGAGCATTCTTTGGACTGTCCCTCCAAGTGCAATGGCCAGTTCGAATGTAATGAATCAAAGAATCAAGCCCTGCGTTTTGTTTTCAAAAAATGAACGGATACTGCATTTCGTCAAACTTATCCCGGGTCAGAACCAGCCCCCCCCTTGACATGAGGTAGATGAACATCACTGTGTTAATCAGCTCACAAACGGACAGACTGCAATTATCGAAGTAAGGTAATGACAATGGCCAATAACTACAGATAGTAGTGGAGGAAAACACAGTACAAGTTTTCCTAACTGCAGTCGAAGTGCCTCCAAGGAATTAGGTATCACTAAACATTTAATAGGAGTAAATAAGGTAGATATTCGAATGCTTCTTTGTAGATGTGTAGGTAGTTCAACCTACCCTGCCGTAGGCCGGTTGAGGCAATGATGACGGACATGTTTTCCAAGCTCTCAAACCCTATCGGTAGATAGGCACCACAACGGATCTTCAACAGACAGATGATTCTAAATTATTGGATTGATTAGATGATCCAAGAATGGTGAGCGAATATGAAATATGGGGATAATCAGGCGAATGAAATTGATATTTATCCCATTTGTATAGTCCTTCATTAACACGGTATTAAGCCACTCATGATTAGCCACGATCTGTGCCAATTGGTTTGTGCTACTTCCTTGTTTTCGCTCACTCTCTTCAAATGTGATTTTGGCCTCGAAATACTCGTGCACCGTTGCTTACAGCGATCTTTGATTGGTTCTCGGCTGTCTTTTCACTCTTCAATTTCAATTAAACATATTGCCGCTGTACCTTGCTTGCACTCTCTCTCTCACCCTCTGGTCAACATTTAGGATGAAAATGACGCAAATCAGATTTCCAACGAGATGCGAAGATTACGTCTTTTCACACTTGAATATAATTTTCGATGATAACAGATTTTTGACAGAAATGCCGAAAATGTGGAGCTGTAGTAACAGGCCTAACGTGGTCAGTTCAGTGTGAAAGTCATATTCCAGTCCTATTTTGGCAAGATAATTTAATAGAACAATTTTTATACTCAAAACGAAAAAAAATCCAAACTAGTTTACACCCTTGGGTGGGGTGGGGGGTTGTTTTCAGCCCAGTAGTTCATCTGGTTCAGATGTGAGTTTACCAATTAACTGAATGGTAAAAGAAATTTTAATAAAACGTTGTCGAAACATCCAACTAAATGGAAAGTACCATTTTGCCTGTTCGCCGAGCTTGGCAATCTGTTTGCAAATGTTTCATCATCAGTGCTTGTGAAGTGGCAGTGTTCTGCTTGTACCCGTTCGTTTATATATATATATATATATATATATATATATATATATATATATATATATTCTTCTCCGTCGACTATTTTCGTCCCCTATTCTCACTTTGTTCGACCCTGTTCGCCGTTGTACTGGTGCGATGGGTTGAGGGAGGGAGGGGGATGTCCTTCGGTCCTGTTCATGATTTTGGTCCGTTCTCGTTACGTCATCTGATCCTTGAAATGAATTGGCGTGTACACATGATCCAGTTCGGTGTACCTCTTTGAATTGATTGGAGGATGCCAAGCTTCGAGAAATTCTCTGGCGTGTTTTGACCGGTCTTGGTCGATAATTCTTACTGATTCGAAGTCAGACTGAAGTCCTTTTTGGTCTTCGTGGAGGGAGTTCAACGATAATGGGTCATGCCTCCTGACTACCGATTGATGTTCGTGGATTCCTGTTGACCCATGTCACCTCCGCCGGTAAGTTGACTAAGCCTTCCTATCGATCGATACATCACACTTTGTTTCCCGTCCATTGCACCCAGACGCGAACACCTGCATGTACTTTCGTGATTCACACACGAACATGACCGATTGGTCATACGCATGACTGAATTGATGCACACACACACCAGAACCCACCATTGTCACCAGTCCCATTGGTCGTCTCTTCTCTTCCATTCGATTGGTTCATTGTCGGTCATCGGTCATCCTTTTTTGTGTGTCTCTCTGGCTGTTCCGTTGATCTCGATCGATCTGCACGTGTAGGCAGTCTTTGAGTTGAACGCCTTCACAGCCATTGAAGGCTCCTTTTGACACAGCAAAACGCTGTCTTTCTCTTGGTATGTTGTTGTAATTTAATCCCCAATTTGTATTTAAGACGCACTATCTTTCGATTGTGCCTTAAAAATGCAAGCTCGCACTCACCGAATTGCCTCACGATTCAAATTCAAATTTCAAATTTTTATTATGGGATATAACTTACAAACACTTCGCTTTTTCAAATCCCATAGGGTGTTTACACTTTGGTTCGGAACACGATTCACAATGTCACACACAGTACATTCATGAAATTACATTAGTAAAGTAATGTTTTTTACGTGCACAGGAGAATATATTATGTAGTTGGGTGTTGAAAAGCAATGATTGCCAGTGCATCATCAAGCTGACGCTTGAAAGATACTAATGTCGGGGCACAGACAACATGAGGGGGTAGAGAGTTCCATGTGCTGCACACTCTGACTGCAAACGAGTGACGTCTGCAGTGTCCACAATCAGTTTATGATGTATGCCGGATTGAAGCATCACATCTTTGTATGTGAATCGATCACGCTGACTCTGGGTTTGTAAGGTAAATAAAGGACTTGTGTCTTTCTGAGTCGGTGGCTGTTTCAGGTTATAGCGGAGCTGTTTGCACACTCTTCATATATGTCCAGTTTTTCCGCATCCATGACGGTTAGCAATGTGGAATCGACAAGTGAATCACAGGTGGTTAGCTCCAAGTAACAGACATGGGATGACGGGTTTTGTGGTACCCGGATTATCGCGTTGTGGCTTGGATGCATGTTTGGCCACTGGAGAACGGACTTGTTTCTGATTGTGCGAAGAGTGTGACCGATTCATTGGCAGTTGCTTGCATGAAAACATCATGTTGTTTACAGATCTTGTGTGCCTCTGTGAAAGAAGGTATTTCTTTTCAAACGATTTCCGTTGCAGTGTTAAGTTGTTAATACCTGCCACCAGACAGTCAAACAGTTGTTTCCCCCGACGATCACCGTCATTGCAGCGTTCCACCCGCTTATTTAGCTGAAGAATGAAATCGCGACGAGATATGCTTTTGGCACATACCAAGGAATTGAATTTGGAGCTCTCATGGGCCGAGAACTCAGTGGGTCGCATGTGATCAAGCAACAACCGGTTCAAGCAGTCTCATGGAAGTCTTGCGAGAGCCTCAGGGCATGTCAGCACAGAATACAAGTAACAGCCAACTCCAGTGAAAAATAGTACCGATTTATTCTGTGCGTCACTCTTGTGGATGCCACACCACAGTTCGAACCACTCCACCTAGTCCTCAATCTCGGACGGACTGGCATGCAGTTGGTAACGTGAACTATAAATCAGATACGTAAAGATCACGGAGTATTGGTGATAGCAGGATTGATTACTGCATTTGAAGTTGAACGATGATCATGGAGCCAAATAGAACCACAGAACTGACTCACCCGTTTTTCAGTCAGTTTACTGTCTCATCAAGCGCTGGACCAACTTCAGCTATCGCATATACTCTATCACCTATCAACCTCAAAACTGATCTGCTGAGATATACGAAGGACAAGGAGCAAAGCGGTTGAAATGATAACTGTATGCATGCGATAAAAACGAACGGTCACAACAAAGCAATTCAAATTAACTTACTCCCACGTACCAAACCCCGTCGATTGGTTCTCCCAAATGGGCTACCGAGGTAAACGTCATGGAAACTGGACCGCTGTAATAATCCAGCGGTCGTGCAGTCAGTAAGGTTGTCTGTGTACCCGAAGGACTTTGTAACCAAATGATAGTCGTTCCACGACATAACTGCTTCCATTGGATGTGCACAACCACTTTCTCTACCAAACGCACGTGACAAAGTTCACTGTCCAGCTCCCCGCTCAGCGTTCCAGATGTGTCTGTCACATTCAAATTCAGCACAGTCTCAAATCCTTTACGCAGTTCAGCTACCTTTTTGTGACTGAATCAAGGGGGTTGGACGGGACGGGGCCAGACGGATCGATGATAGAAGACAAACAACTAAATGGTCATAAAATGATTACCAGAATGAAACAGTGAAGGATAAAACAGATGAGTAAGAAGTAACTGGGACACAGTTGAACGACTGTGTTTGAACCACAATGCAACACATCATCTAGTCAAAACTCGCCTATCTCGTCCTAATCAGACCAACCATGGGACGCAATATAAGAAATACTCATTTTATGAGACATTCAAAATCAACTACCAGTTGATGTTAAATGTCTTCGAAGAAATAAAACATGTTCACATATCTCATTGAATCGATTCATGGCTGACTTATTCAAAGGGATGTTTTGCTGTATTGTCCAGGCTTTTGGTAAAAAGAATATTGCTCATGATGCATTACCCTTATCCCACCACCTGTTTTTCACAAAACAGGTGAAACAGGTGTGAAAACAGGCAACTAGGGAAGCAGATGAGTCCGACCCTTAAACTCCAAAGTACACTGTCATTTCGGAGGAAGAGATAGCCGCGCACTAGCCCAAAGCTGCTTCTGTCTTGATGCGATGCACACAGACACACGTTTTACGTTTTACGTTTTGATATATCGATGTGTTTTGCGCAATTCATAAACTGAACCAGAGGGATCAGATACCGTCAACAGAAATGAATGAACGACTAACGTCAGGTGTAAACTGCACATTCCCAGCTGCTTCGCTTCGACTCTTTGCCTCTATCCGCGGAGTTGATTAAGGCAGGTGTAAACACAGTTGTTAAGCTGTCCTACGCATGGTTCGCCTGCAGTTGCGATGCAACATATATAGGCAACGAATACGATCAATTATCACAACGAATGGCTGAACACATTTCAAAGTGGTTACGAAAGTGAATAAGACAACCCAAACCCGATAACTCTGCGGTCAGAAGGATTCCAGGGTCATCTATGGCAAAATACCTCATGCCAACCGCGCCAGCAATCGATCTTGCATTGCAAAGCTGTTAGCAGTCACTGAGGTGTTGTAAATCCGATTACATCGTCGTGAAGGATACGTGAATGTGCTCATCTACTTAAGCTCTGTCAATATTGCCGACTCTCACACTATGTTTCTCATATCAAGCTGTCATGCGGTTCAAGTCCTGAGGAGAGCTCGTTCCAATCCCAGCACTATCACATAACTTCTCTTTTTCCATGCATCGTATGGTAGCCATTTGGATTTATCGCCATTTCTTTCTTAAAAATTGTTTACGGCTATATATTCACCAACGGAAATGAGAGGACAGAAAAGAACAGGCTAACATAAATGGACCAATTCACGAGAGAGTGGCAAGATCCACGAAGTATTTCAAAAATGGTGCGTCCTCGAAATCTAAAGGAATGAGCCAAACGTACGAGTTTACACGCACGCACACACAGATGTGAAAAGAGATGCACAGTTCGGTAGCAGACAAACAAATGCAAGCAAGTGTGGCGATCTGGGTCAACGAGATGACGCATACCCTGGAGAGACGCGTCACAGATTTTGGACAACTTCACGTGTGACGTCACCAACGCGCGTACGCGTCACTGCTTCTGACTACATACCATAGGTAGATCGTACCAGCCAATGAGAGACCATGCGTCCCAGACAGCAGCAGAACGACGTAAGCAATACTGGAACGCGATTGGTGGAATCCCGGTTAACCAATGAACCTACTTTGTGCATATCATTTAATTCCCGTTATTTCTTCCAACTACTACTCCTGAAGCCTTTTTCCACGCGTCTCAGTTACATAGGATATTGCGTGCTAGTGTCAGTGCGGTCCAGCGCTTACGTGATCCAGTCCGTGATTGCTTATCCTTGATTCGTATTCCGTGATCCGTGTTGCTACTACTACTACTACTACTACTACTACTACTACTACTACTACTACTACTACAATCACCACAATAATCCATTTAAGACAAAAGGGCAAAAAAGCTCTGATGCACGGAGTTTGAAGCAGCTTCGGATGCTAGACTGGAAATGAAAAAGGAAACATTGTGCTTCAGAATATACCGTGATCCCTTGGAAACCGTAGTGAACAAATTAGAGAAAAAATCGCATACAATGTGAACAATGAAGTGACCGCGGATTAGAATATTTGGTGACTCAGGAAAACACAGTTAACAGATTGTGCTTTACTAAGGCAAATCCCAGTTAGCGGAGCTTACCACAGGTCTTGCAATAAGCATATTGAGTCAAACATGTCGAAATTCGAAATTATGGCTCTTTACCAAAAAGTCGGTTTTTGTATCTCTTCGAACATCAATTATTGCCACAAATAACAAATGTGTGGGACCTAGACATCAATGTTCGAGAAGAAGCAAACTGTTATGCCAGTTGATACCCGTTACCCTCCGCAGCGATGAGACGTGTTATTTTTCCCAGGCCCAATTTGGGTATTTATGTACTGCCAAGAAAATTTTGTCCCCAATCACATGCTACTTAGTGGCATCAGTGTTTGGACAACTCTTTCCAAACCAGTCTACTGATGAATCTAAACTATGATTCGATGCGTTGTGGTGGAGTTAAATGTTACTAACCGTAAAGAATGTAACCCAAGCGTCTTTATACAATAGTTTACAAGCAGTATATGAATGACTAGACAAAGTTTCCTTAGAAACACATGACCACGTGTTGTAAATGAGGTTATTATGATGAAAATACTCGTCAAGGGTATAAGTATACGAGGGAAATGACAAAAGATTATCCGGTACGCATACCTTACGAGCAGCAAGCACAGTGAAACCGGTCGTGGGCTTCTCGGGGATTTTTGTTGAGTAACTCATATACAACTTATCGTAAAAAATTACGATAAACTCTCCTCCCCCTTCCATCCAGTTTCTGTTTTTTTCTTATCACTTACTGTTGCTTGTCCAAAATGGATTCTCGCAGTTTATCACACATCATCTCTCGCACTCGATCAGATATTTGTACATCGATGTACAGTCACATCTCAAACAAGTAACAAACTGAAGTTTCTCTCTCTCTCTGTATGCCAAACTTTTGTTTGTCTGTTACTCTCAAACCTGTTCCCGTCCCTTCGATTCGCGACGGTTTTTATCCAACATCACATTTTCTTCTTTCCTCCTATCTCTGTTTTCCTGCTCAACTAACGAATTCAATAAGTGTTTCGTGCTAAACGCTTCTTCACATCTTTCCAACTTTTGCACTCATAAGAGGCTCAAATCCTTCACCCTTTTTCATTGGTAGTGCAGTCACCTTGTAGATACTGCCTTGTCCACTTCACTATTCCTTCTTGTCTGTTAGACTATCTGTCTGTCTGTCATCAATGATTGGACACTGACTTCACTCCATGCAGTCCCTTGTCCATGGCTGAGCCGTTGATTAGTATACATTTAAAAAAGATCTTCACCAACACTGTTTCTGCTTGTGCTACTCTACTGTACTCTACTGTTTAATCACTCAACTCACACATAAGCCCCGGTTACCAAGTGACTGTCCCCGTCCCTCACATTTACGGTTTATGGCACTCTTTTTTCTCTCTCGAAAACCGCCCGGGTGCGGAGTAAACTGATTCGTTGTTTTATTATTTCTTTATTACAATCTTCCTACTGCTAAACAGAATTAACACACTGTTGTTCCGTTGACTGTTACACATCGATCCACGTTTACAGGCAGAGCGAGACTTCGAACTCGGACGTTTATCGCTTTTACTGTGATTCATGTTTATCATAAAATAAAAATAGGGATTTAATGTGTTGATGTACGGTTCTGAACTCACTTCTGTTCTGAAATACCAAGATCTTTTAAAAAATTGACGATATCATCGGTCGAGTTGATATGGGTGAAGTTCGAACTTGATGGTACGACAGCTTGTCTTTTGGACCAATCTTGTGTGATCTTGGGGCCAGACCCGGTCCGAGTAATACACAACGGACCGACTGCTGTCCAACTTTGGGCCAAAATGGGAAGGCGAGTACAATCAAGAAGACCGAAGCCAACGTGCACGCTATGCAAAAGGCCAGCAGCATTCACATACCAGTCCTGGGGTTCATTATTGGGCAGTCGAGAGCACCAGGGGATAAGGAGATCCAAATCCCGTGCAGTCATGTTTGGGCTGAGAAGTTAATTTTCATTGTTTGTTTTCATATGTCACATAACGTTTTGGGGTTGGAAGGAAGAAAAGAAAACGTTGCTTGAGTTATTAATACCTAAACAGAGAAAGCCAAACAAACTGTGCAAACTAACTCTTATTTAGTAAGCCGTTGAAGGTTAGGATATTGCGACGATTAGCACATTTCATGATAGTGACGAGTTAATACTAATATCAGCTCGGATGCTGTTCCAGATATTAGTGTTGACGACGATGCTGATGATGGCAGCTTGCGAGTGACATTGGGACACATCAGTACGTAGGAGATTGACAGAATTGGAAAGGGATTTTGTATATAAATATTTCACACGCGGACACATGCTGTGCACTCTGTTTTTTTGACAGTTCATTAAGTAGTATAGCCAATACGTGACGGATACTGAACCGGTAACGGCGAAGACCTTTCAAATCCTGTTTCAGAAGATTTGCGAAAATGATAGGGGAATAATGAGGTGAAATGGAAAAGTGCATTGAAAGGCAGTGAAAGAGGAAGTGCACATTATGTGCCGTCAAATTTTCTCAGACTCCATATCTGTCACGGTAATTCTCGAGGTTTATAGACCCAGTTATCAAGATGGGATATCTACCCTGAGGTTCCGTCGATGGTTATTTTGAAATACTGTGGTAATCAGAATATTATTGAATATCGGAATACGAAAACCCGTACTGCGATGCTCAGAACTGGATTGACTCTAATCCGAACTTCAGATACCAATGAAATACACAAGGAATTGGTAGCATCAAATACTTATGTTTATTGATGGAATTAGAGCACGTTTTATAGAAAGCATTAGACCATATCGTTGGTTGTAGGGCCGTCGTCCAATCACGTAACCGTTTGCGCAGATGCAACATATGTGCTAACTCGGATGGAATGTTCACCCGGTGTACGATTGGTTGAGCTTCCTGAACTGTGATTGGATGACATGAAGCTGTACCTGGTCGTGCTTGGAATGCGGTTACGTATGTCTGGATCACCACAAATACGTATCATGGTCAAACATTCGGCATTCTTTGTGGAGAGAACACAGGGCTGAGCGGATTGACAGAGAGGGTTATAGTGCCTTCTAAACGTTTGGGTGAACTGAAGGCTAGTCAACATTAAACAGACAAGTCATAACTATACAACTGATTGGTGGAGAAATATTCGAAGTTCTCCATCAGGGAACTGAAGTTGCCGATTTCTACATGGTAGGCAAATTGAAACAAATGTGATTGGAAAATTTCTGGCCGACCATCACTATAGATAAAAAAGAAGCAGAGAAAATGAACCGCTCTCTGAGGCATTACCGATTCATTTGTGATCGACCCGGTGGTTTATGCACCGCAGTCGAGTAGTAAGTAGTCACACAAACATATCAGTTTAATTTTTTTTTTTTTGGGGGGGGGAGGCAACCAATATTTGACGACTGAATGCAAGAACGTATGATGGAATAGAAACAAAAAGATGCACATCTCACACATCTCACAGATGCCTCGAACACATCTTTCTGGTTCCGCAACTTACTTGGCTTCAAGTGCCAAAGCAAAACAACCGGCCGCGAGAGGTGCAGCGGCTGAGGTTCCTGCAAAATCCACACTACACTTGTTGTTCACTGCAGTTGATGGCTGTTGGAAGAAAACAGGATTGGTGTGTGATGAGCAGAGAA